TTGAAACTAAATATAAAAGTGCATGAAATCATACAGGCAAGGCAACAGCACTTACCTTTTCCAATAACAGTCATATTTGATAAACTCTTGATCCACGGGCGTACTACCGTTGCGTGCGGGTTCTTTCAATCTATATACATATATGGATAGCCTGTGGTGATAGATACCCGATAGGCGGGGGTTCGATTCCTCAGACGGTGCAAATGTTTGTTGTAATAAGCATGTTTGTTTGTACTGGTTTGGGTATTTTCTATGTATATATGTTTATTTCCAAAAATAATGTATGAGTTGTCTAATGTTGTCTAGGGTATTATTATTTCTATTATATTTATTTGTCGTAATCTAGTATAATATAATCTAATAAACATATTTAATGAAAATTAGTCTCACAAACTTTACGTTTAGACGTTGTGCCATATGTTTTGCTATATGTATATTGGTTACAAGAAATCAGTTTTGATATAAAATATGACTAAACACTAGTACAGCTAAACCTTGTCCATTAAATTACAAATCATAGTCACAATTTTATACACGTTGTCAAAAACCTTGGCCCGGGTCCCCACCAACATACTGACCACCTTCATGAAAGAGGACTACTGGCCGAAAAGGATGGTGTACCGGCGCTGCTGTCACAGATTGCAGGCGTCAGTGGCAATTTATAAATATAACAAAGACAAGATGTAAAATGTCATCAAAATCCGTTCAGTATTTTTTTGCTTGAGAAAGGAGTAAAACACATTCATCCAAAACCACTCTAAAAATTTCTCGTTTATATTATAAGTAAAATTATTTCAAATGTTAGTTTATAAGATATTTATAATAAGCACCATTAGTGGCCTGAACTAAATAATGATTTTCTTATTCATTGAAATTAAAAACTAACAAAATCACCTGTAACTACTAGTTAGCTTACATAGAAACTCCGTTTTAAAGCTGTAGGACAGTTCAGTTGATCTTCAAACGATTAACATGTTTAAGCTGAATTCAACCGCATTTCACAGTGACAGATGTGGCTTTAAGGAATCGCTTCTTCGCATTCTGTGTAGACATTCCGTGTCACTGTTGCAGACACGATACTTTTAATACACGATACAAACAATCGTACGCATGGATACAAATATATATGCCGTGCGAGAAATCGAACCTGCGACCATCGGAAGTAAGGCAATGTGCTAAACCGCTAGACTACCGAGGCCGTCAATGGAATTAGACTATTTTGTTTAATTTCACTACATTAGCATGTGTGAGATGACAAATATTTAGTGCGGAAACTTAACTAACATTACTACCATCACTAAGGGTGACCAAATTCCGACCGTTATTGAGTCTACACCTATATTGCGAGTGTTTCGCCCCCTGAACGAGGCATCACCATTGAATAAAGTTCGGATATATCTTGGAAGCCTAATGTTGACTATTCGGTGACCAAACTGCGACACATGTGATCTTACACATACTAATTGTAGCGGGATTCAACAAAATAATATAAATTCTTCAAGTATTGAAAAGCACTTCGATAAAATAACGATTAGCGATTCAGTTGCTTTATGAAAGCTACGGTCACTGTGAAAATATCTGAATAGATTTTGTATGAAGTTGTCTGCGTGGATAGGATACCCACCTATTTCTGCCGTCGAGCAGCCTGTATTGTGAGCTGTGTTCGAATTAAAATGGTTGAAATGGGGTAGTAAAATTACAGGGTAAGTACGCAACGCAACACACGCCAGCATAACTAATGTTTGTTGCATCTGTGATCATTTAAAAAAGTTAGTTTTTTTATTTTTTCAAGAGTTTTGGGTTATTGTCAGGTGTAGCACTGCGACCTACATAGATTATTGTGCTCGCCCTTTTTTTTTTAAAGTTATAGTTAAGTTACTTAAGTACTACCTAGGCCCGTCAGGGAGAATAATGAAGGATATTCTTAGGAGCGATGGTTTTTATCTCCTTATGGTATAGTATTGGTATACATATGAATGTGGATGGTTATAAGGGCAGAGGAAGGCTGAATAAGAGATGGATGGACTGGGCGAAAGATGATATGGTAAGAAAGGAAGTAAATAACGCGATGACTGCGAACAGGGATGAATGGAATAGAAAGACATATTGCGCCGACCACAAATAAATGGCATAAGGAAGAAGCAGATGATGGTATAGTGTATACTTTCCAAAGAAGACATTTCGCTTATGCATGAGAGGGCTACAACAACATAAGATGTGTAGTGGCGTTTCCTCTTCTGCTTGGCAGAATCTGCAGATTGTTCTTAAGCTGAGAGCTAATTTTGTCAATGTGTTTATTCAATTTGCAGTCTCCAGTGAGGGTCCTAGTCATGAAGAGCAATAATTACCACCTTCCATCTAGTGGACAGTCAGCTTGTTTCATTAAAAGTAAACAAAATCCCAAGTAGCTAGGCCAAAAAGCAAGTAACGAACGTGAAGATTTTAATATCGTATCGATTCAGAAATACGAATCGATACGATATTAAAATCTTCAAGAAAAGATTAAATTTCTTCTTAAAAGGTCTGCAACTTGCAATACCCCTGGTGTTGCGGGTGCTCATAGGCGGCTCAAGCGAGCTTACGGCTCACTATCAGGTGAGCCGTAAGCTCGCTTGTCCTCTATAAAAGTTGCCCGTCTACTCATGGTCTTAATCGGTAATCAATACTCAGACAGAGATAGATAAATATCGGGCAAAAAAGTAAATTGCCGAGGGGAGATGGGATAATATTTTCTGATAAAAAAAAACAGAGGGAGACGTACCATCAATAAATGTTAGTTTTAATTGCCTTTATCCCTGATTTGGGTGGGGTCGTGATGAAATTGATGGATGACAATAATTGGTTTTTATTGTTTTTAGCTTCAGTAAACTAACTCGTGTTATTGTAAGATAAAACTAGCAGATGATATTGTAGTAATACAAGAAAACATAACCAGATCGAACTAAACTTTTATATCCATATACCATAAAATACAATTTAAACTGGAATTATCTATACATATAAATAAAATTGGTGTGTCTGTTTGTAATATTGAAATAATCATTTTTTACTACATACATATGAATATAAATACGGTACATACACCAAAATATCATTTTTTACTATTTTGTCTGTCTTACTGTTTGTTCCGGCTAATCTCTGAAATGGCTGGACCGATTTTGATTTGGACTTTTTTGGCAGATAGCTGATGTAATAAGGAGTAACTTAGACTACTTTTATTTTAGAAAAATAAAGTTAAATTCCACGCTGACGAAGTCGCGGATACAGCTAGTATAATATAAAATTAAAGAAATATCTATACACAGTAACTATTACTGTTATTGTTAGTAATGTGGACTAGTGAACCCCATTGCTAGCAATATAGCAAGTCAGGTTGACCTCCACGCGGTTCCCCCGTGTACGCGCGTGTATACATTAATGAATATTTATTTTATGTGTAAGTTATGTATAAGCAAATAAATAAATTATTATTATTATTATATATTTATTTATATTATTATTTATGTTTATTCATTCCATCTTGCGCCATCCTCCACCAGATCTGGAAAAGATCGCTTAAACGATAAATAAATAACCTTACCCCAGGCGTGCACAATTATCATCGAAAAAACTAAATATTGTTACTAAGCCAGCTCGGACTAGGGCAATCGAGACTCGATTCTATAAGGCTTTATAAATATTAAATTCCATTCTCATATTAAATCAATACGACCTTACCTTTCCAATATTATATGTTCATGATATTTGTATGTTATCGGCGTTTTTATATATCGTATTACATGTTAAATCTCATTCGGATAGCGAAACCCTTCGCATTTCAGTATTACAAGATTAAATGGCCAATACTTACCAGGATTACGTTAGTAATAACATTACTTCTATCTGTATACTAAAGGAAATGAAATGAAATTTGAAATGAAATAAAAAATTTTAATCGATTGATTGATTGACGTTAAACACATTAAATGTCTAATGTATATAACTTCAATCAATCAATCAATAATCTCAGGACAATTCACACAGCACCATCTAGACCCAAATTAAGCTAGCTAAAGCTTGTGTTATGGGCACTAGATGACTGATACAAATACATAGATATTTTTTTTCGTAAATACATACATAATATACATAGAAAACACCCAGACCGATACAAACAATAGTACTCATGAACACAAATGTTTGTGCCGTGCGAGGAATCGAACCCGCGACAATCGGCCGTAAAGCGATGTACCAGACCGCTAGACCACACTTAGATTGTGAAATGAACTTCCTACCGAGGTTATCTCACGACGGTATATTAAGGTTTCTTAAGAGTCGGCAACGCGTTTAAACGTCCATAGGCTACGGTAACCATTTACAATCGAACCCGCGACAATAGGGCGTAAAGCGGTGTGCTAAACCGGTAAACCACCGAGGTCATGGAATCAATATCAGAAACTTACAACCTTTACCTTTTTACAATATTGTAAGTGGTAATTATATATTAATAGATGTAATGAAAGTTGGACTCCACTCTCCGCAATCAGCCTCTCATATGGACCGATGTGCGTGTAGAGCCAGACTACTACAGTAGCCAGCCAAGCTCCTCCCAAAAGCGCAGAAGACTCCTGGTGTCTTCACAGGCTTCACGGAGCGACCTCACCTTCCGAGGATTCGTTTTCGTTGTGTGACCACTGCTATGCACTCCAGGATTACGTGAGCAACCGTTTCTTCGGCTTCAAAGCAGCCCCGACAAAGGAGACTGTCAGTAGCGCCTATTGTGTACCAGTGTTTGTTTGGGACAGTGGCCCGTTATTGTCCCTATCATTGAGGACATGCCTATGTAGATTCAGTAGGCATTTTATATTAATATATATTTATATATGACGACCTCGGTGATCTAGTGGTTTAATACACCATCTTTTCACCAGGCTACTTTTATTTTAGAAGTATAAAGTTTTATTCCACGCGGAACAAGTAGGTAGTACATATAATATTATACGTGAAACTTTTTTTTTCAGTTCAACTTTGTGGGCAAGCTGTTAGGCCCCAAGGGGAACTCTTTGAAACGGCTGCAGGAAGACACGATGTGCAAGATGGCAGTCCTCGGCCGCGGTTCCATGAAGGATCGTCAGAAGGTTAGTTTCATATCATAAGAGTCTGTAATAGACCTACATTAATAACGATATTTTGATTTGAATTGTTATATATTTATCCTTTATTGCACTATCTAAAATAATATATAATTGGCGAGTTTAATGCCATATGGCATTCTCTACCAGCTAAGCATTGGGTAAAAACAGAAAGCGGTTGAATATGATATAAAATAATAATGATTGGTAAAGATATACTATTTGTATTTACCTAACTTAGGTAAATGTGTCAATAGTAATATGCTTACATAACAATGATATATACGTACTTACATATTATGTAGTATATATATATATATATATATATAATATGCAAGCAGTGAGCACTCATTCTGTTGCTTCAGCATATAATTATAAAGTTTTCTTTTGAATGTTGCTTTATATTATGTTCTACACGTCTACATACATATTATATACTGTTTTTTTATTTCAGGAAGAAGAGCTCCGTGTGTCAGGAGACCCCAAGTTCGCTCACTTGTCTGATGAACTCCATGTAGAAATAAGTGCTTTTGCCACTCCAGCCGAGGCGCATGCGAGAATCGCGTATGCCCTCGCTGAACTTAGAAGATTTCTAGTACCGGTGAGTCATTTTTATATATTACAAGCTACTCGCCCCGTCTTCACACGGGTGTACATGTATTATATGTATAAACTTTCCTCTAGAATCACTTTATTAAAAAAACCGCGTCAAAATCCATTGCGTAGCTTTAAAGATTTAAGCATACATAGGGACGGGACAGCGACAGCGACTTTATTTTATTAGTATAAAATAAAGTCGCTGTCGCTGTCCCGTTATATTATCATTATTTTTTTTATTAACATTATCATTATATAGTTATAATGATAATAACTAGCTGTGTCCGCAACTTTGTCCACGTGGAACCGTGACCTAATAAAGAAAAAATATTAAATAATCTAAGCCAAAAAAATACAAAAGAAAAAAGTTTCATCGTTCTTAAAAATTGTTAACTTCTTTCTATACAAACTTTCAATATCCTTAAAGGTATTTTTTTTACAAACTTTAAATGTCATGTTTATATATATTTAATCAACAGCTTAAAAAATAAATGTCAAGTTTCTAGCGTTAAAAATGACGATACTTCCATATAACCTTTCATCTCCCCTTTCAACCCCTTACAACCCTTTTTTCTCATTAAAAAGTAACTATAATAAAATCGACACAAATAGAATATCTAAATATATATACCAACATAATAGTGTTACACAGATAAATTCGTCTTCTTAAACAAAGATTCCACGATGGTGGTAATCCAGTATACGGCCTATCTTAGCTTAATCCATATCGGCCTATCTTAGCTTATCCACGTGGAGATCAAACTGATATAGCATATAGCTAGCAATGGAATTATTATTAGTCCTCATTAGTAAGAATCTTGCTCATTCTTCTTGCGATGAGTCTGCATTCCTAATGAGTGGTAGAATTAAAAATATGACTATTCAAAAGTGCTTGTATTGAGTTTATTTGAATAAAGATTACTTATATTTCTATTTATTTCTAATTTTCTTCTCTAAAACAATAATATTTAACGTATCAAATACAGAAATCTTATATATAAAATTTTCGTGTCACTATGTTAGTTACCATACTCCCCCGTAACGTCCGATTGCCTGACGATTTTTATATGCATATTGAGTAGGTCTGAGAATCTGCTACTATTAATTTTTCATACCCCTAAGTAATAATGGTTATCCACCTCTAACATTTTACTTTTTTTATACGGATAATATATTACTATTTATTTTTTTACAATGTCGCAATAAAAATACATACAACCCAAATATTCACCCTTCAATCAGCAACCCCTATTTTTAATAGCGATATTAATTTATATATCAAAACAATGTTTGCGGAGTCAGCTAGTATTTTATAAATAACTTCAGTAGTTCAGTCTATTGGGTAGAGTCATATACAGTTTCACACTCTCTTTGCTATAAATATAAGTCGGACCTATGATATATTGTCGACATAAGTCTGTCTAAGCAATATATAATTACTCAAGCAATCTGATAACAACGTACCTAAATTATAGTGCAAAAACTATTAACAAACGAACCTCAAAATTGTACTCTATTTTAACGTGCTTTAAGCTTAAATTCGCGTAACCAGGTTGGAATATTTCCACTATTAATGTAATATCTGTGCCAAAACCCACCGTTGCAGCTGTTGCTGCCTATTCCTTATTAGCTAAGCGTGAAGATAAAAAGATACTATGCCGTTCAGGTGCAAATTTAACCGACTTCAAACAAGTTTTTTTATGTAATTAGTATTTTTCTTTTGTTGTACAGATTTGAACTTACAAACTTTTAGGTTTATGTTACAGTCGTAAACCACGATGATCTCATTGAAATAAAATGAAGATACAGACTAATTTCTATATATACATGCGCATACAAAATACAATGACTCCGGTGATCTAGCGGTTTAGCTCACCGCCTTATTACACCGCTGGTCGCGGGTTCAATTCCTAGGAGCGTACAAAAATTTGAATTAATGAGTATGATCGTTTGTATTTATCTGGGTGTTTTCTATGTATATGATATACTAGATGTGCTCGCGACTTCGTTCGTGTGGTTGTCAAAAATACTATCAAAGATTATTTAAAGAGGAATAATTCTTTCATACATATTTTTGAGTAACTTGAACCCTTTACGCAGTGCACGCAATAGAAGCCTCAAATATGAATAATTTTCCCTGTTTTGCAACATTTTTCACTGATGCTTCTCTTCTATTGGTCGTAGCGTAATCTTATATAGCGCCTAATCCACACTTATATAGAAACCAATATACTAAAAATAATTACTAAAAAGGACCCGCTTTGATACAACGTCGACAAATAGACTATCCAAAATCAACAAAAACATTTTTTTAATTCGAACCAGTAGTTCCTGAGATTAGTGCGTTCAAACAAACAAACTCTTCAGCTTTATAATATTAGTATAAATGTATTTACAAAAAAAAATCTTAGGTAAGTCTATCAGTAACTTAGTATCCACAAGCTCTTCTTAACTTTGAACTAGATGGCACATGTGAATTGTCGTGAGTTATTATAGTTACAACCAAAAATATTAGTCACTCGGAAAAAAACAACAAATATTATGAACGCTATAAAAACATAGGTATTTTCTACAAAAGACCAATGAATCTCGCAATATAATTAGATGAACAGCACTATAATGTAAAATTCTATTAAAAACCGATGAAAATCTATGGAACTATCATAAAACTGCCACCTGACATCCTCGTAAAAGCTTGATGTTGCTTTAGGCAATCGATCTCCTAGACTATAAAGTTAACGTCTGCTAAACCAATTTAAACTTTACTGCCGATGTGTTTATGACTGAATTTCCTAAGAACACTTTTAAGGATCACAAAGATGCGAAGACAAGAAACATGGAGTCAAGGAATTTAGATTATAATATCAGATATTTATAGCTCGTAACAGAAGTTGCATCTGAACAATTTCGTTATAAATTACTCTTAATAAAATATTATAAACTATAGCTGACTCTTGCAAGTTCGTCTGCGTCACATAAGAGAGAGGGAGAAGGAATAAATTCTCTCAATTTTTCTGCAACATCTTTCATTAATGCTTCGCTGTTATTACTCGTAGTTTTAATGTTATAAAGTCTTCCTAGATAGTAGTTTTTTTTTAATAAATGATAATAGGACGGTGTACCCGCCTGCGCTAACGGTTTACTCTGGCTTGGCACCAGTGGAGAATGATATGATGTATATGCGGTCAGCCAGTTAGCCATTGCGGCAAATTCTCCAAGAATTTATCAGGATAGTTTCCAGGGGGAACAGAGTGGAAGTTAACCGGACATGGTACATTGCTAGCTATAGGATCATTAGTCCACTTACTAACAATAACAGTAATAATTACTATGTATAGATATTTCTTTAATTTTATATTATACTAGCTGTATCCGCGACTTCGTCAGCGTGGAATTTAACTTTATTTTACTAAATTAAAAGAATTTTTCTAAAATAAAAGTAGTTTAAGTTACTCCTTATTACATCAGCTACCTACCAAAAAAGTCCAAATCAAAATCGGTAATGGATCGGTGGACTGTATGGGTGTCTTGATGAAAATACGTAGTTTGCACAATCCTATACGAAAGACAATAATAGAATAATACTTATTATTTTCTTTAGATTATCGCGAGATTACCACGGTCCAAATAAACTATTGTTTTCAACAATGATAGCAATCCAGCATACGGCTCAGAAACCACCGTAGCCTTTCTAAAATTTTTATGGCAAGCTTTCTTATATTCTTACTAGCTCAGTTTCACTCGCGTAAAATTTACAGCCTATGTGTTATTCTGATGTATAAGCTATATTACTGTAAAATTTCATCAAAATACGCTCAGTAGTTTTTGCGTGAAAGAGTAACAAACATCCATACTCACAAACTATCGCGTGTGTGATATTATTAAGATTAAGATTATTTTTAGGGCGTGGGGCCCACGTTGGGAAACACTGTTCTAGAGTAACACTTCACCCTTCTAATATCCGTGTAGATATAGCCTTTGACTCGGTGGTCTACCGGTTTAGCACACCGCCTTACTTCCAACGGTCGCTGGTTCGATTCCTCGCACGACACAAACATTTTTATTCATGAGTATGATTATTTGTATCAGTTTGGGCGTTTTCTTTGCATAATATTATGTATGTATTTACGAAAAAAAATATCTATGTACTTGTATCAGTTATCTAGTACCTATAACACAAGCTTTAGCTAACTTGAGACTGTGTTAATTGTCCTAAGATTATTATTACTATTTATTATTTTATTACCTTCACTATTATTACAATTAATACACTTAGATTGTGGAATGAACTACCTGCCGAGATTATCTCACGAGACTACAGCATGGGGTTTTTTAAGAATGGTGTATTAAGGTTTTTAAGGGTTTAGACCTATATACAGACGCTAAAGTCTAAAGCTTCCATAGGCTACGGTAAACATTTACCATCAGATGAGCCGTATGCTTGTTTGCCACCGTAGTAGTAAAAAAAACTATTGTTATTCTAAATGGGGTAAATTTACGTACTTACCATTCCAGACCAAATATAAAACCTAAAGAAATATTGTCACATGCTAATATTTGACAATATTTCTAGACTTTTATGCTCTTAAGGACCTCTTTCACTTGACCAATAAATAAGGCTAGAATAACTGTAAATTAATACGGCTAGCAACGGCTATATTGTAGGGTAAAATAAATAAATAACTTACCAATCCTTAGCTATATAATTCTTATTTGACACAGCAATAGAAAAAACAATACAGAAAATATACAATGCCAAAAACTTAAGACTCTCTCATTCTTTGTTTCATAATAATTAAAACTTTAAACTAAATTTTCACCTAAAGAATAATAATAATAATCTCAGGATAATTCCCACAGCGCCATCTAGTCCCAAGTTAAGCTATCTAAAGCTCGTGTTACAGGTACTAGATAACTGATACAAATACATAGATATTTTTTTCCTAAATATATACACAATATACATAGAAATCACCCAGACCGATACAAACAATCATACTCATG